GTTCGGGGCGGCGCCGCCGCCGATAGCGTTGCGCGGCGGCGTGCGGCCGGCCCGCGAGGCGGGCCTGGATGGCGCACCGCTTTCTGAGCGTGCTGCCATGTTGTGAGGGTTGGGGGCTATCGCTTGCAAAGCCCAGTGCATGACGGCACACGCCGCGCCCGCCAAGGTCGCCGTGTCCAGTCCTCCTCTTGGTAACTCGGCATTCTGGGACGCGTCCGCGTTGACCGTATCACCTCGACCCTGCTGCAAAGCTGCAAGATGCTGGCAGCAGCTTTGTTGACCGGCCGGCCTGCAAATGCCGAGCTCGCATGTTGGAGCGTGCCGCGCGTCCACACCGCTGGCCGAGTGGCACACACCCCCGTGGTGTCTTGGGGAGCGCCTCGTGTTGTCAGCAGAGGAGTTGTTTAAGTTAGGGGGGTTTGCAGCTGTGAGTGTGGTGAAAGCGCCGCAAGGCTCCTGCGGTTCCCTGGTTCGGCCTTGCTGAGAGAGGCAGGGCATCTTTTTGCAACACGATACAACGATGTAACTTTGACAAGCACACGCATTTGGGTTTGCCTGCTGGTTGGGCATGGCTTCACAGGTTCACCTCCGGGTCCCCTGACAGACCCTGCCGCACCAGGCCACCCCAGCCGCCCCTTCCTCTTCGCTTCCTCCAAGGATTCCACTGCAGCGGCAAGCCCGGCCCCCAGACCGCCGCACTATGCAGCGCCGAGGCGCCCGGAGCGCGCGGCCCTGGATTTGCTGGCCCAGTGATTTGCACGGTGCATTACAAGCCCAGGTTCCCGCACACTACAGGGGAAAGGAATGAGACTTCGCAATTGCCCAGGCCAACGCAGAGCCAGACACTCATGGCTGCCCCAGGAGTGACGCACACACGCGCGCACGCGCGTGCACGCGTGCATGCACGCACCCACGCGCACGCACACACCCATGCGCACACACGCGCCCATGCGCAAGCACACACACAGACCTTTGTTGCGTTTGCGCCTCAGAGGAGGCTGCCTTGACTTTGGCTGACTGTGCCGCTCCGCCCCCATCACACAGTGTCTGATGAAGATTGATCGCGATTTTGTTGCTTATCATCATGATCGTCAGTGGCGGCATTTGTGGGAGTGCTCTGGACGTCTGCAGCAGACACCGGCAGCATCTCGTTGAGCCAACCGTGCGCCTCGCTGTCCACGTATGATACGATACCTGTCGCAGTACTCCGGCCTTTCACGTACGGTATCCAATGGTCCCATTGTACGCTCGCTTGTATCTCTTGAGATCACAACTCCCTTGAGATCTCGGTGTTGCCCTGTTGTTGCCTTCGCGGCCTTTTCGTGTGCGTTCGTGTATTGAATCAACAGTATCATCATTGGCACAGAACTTGAACACGCAATCGTACGTCTAGGCCACTGTGCAGGAGGAGCGTGGCGCATCGCTGCCACTGCTGCTGCAGCACCGTCGTTTCGCTGCGTCGCCTCAGCACCCAGCGGCCCCGGGCTCGGCGACCAGCCCGGCCCCTTGGAGACCCCCAGCAGGCCGCAGCGCCGGGCACGGCCGCGGCAGACCACGTGCGCTGCGCCGCTTGAGCGCGCCCCGGCGCTCGTGGCGTGATGGGCGACACGGGCCCGTTTTCGGTCGGCGCGAGCGTCCTGGTGCCCCACACCGACCGCTTTTACGAGGCCAAAGTTCTAAAGGCCCAAAAGCGCGAAGATGGGCAGTGGTACTATCTCATACATTACATAGGCTGGAACAAGAAATGGGACGAGTGGGTCGAGCAGACGGGCCTGCAGCCGGCGTCGGAGGCAGCTGCCCTGAACCTGCAGCCGCCGGCCAAAGCGGCGAAGCAGAAGGGCAGCGCCGGCGGCGCGGCGGCGGCGGCGGCTGCGGCGGCGTGGCAGAGGAGCAAGGCGTCAGTGGACGGCGCCGCGGTGCAGGCCGGTGCGAGCTCTTTTCTTGCGGCATCTGCCTCAAAAACGGGGGGCCTCTTTGCACGGGGGGCCTCTTTGCACGGGGGGCCTCTTTGCACCTTTTTGGCGCCGGCGTGAGCCCTGCAGACTCGCTGTTTCACGCGCAGTAATAGGGGTATTGCATTGCGCCCAGAGCTAGCAGACGGCCCGCGCGCCGATGTGCCCCTGGCTCCCACCGCTGCGCCGACCTCCTTCCGGCTCACCCCTCACGCACCTCCTCCCGCCCCACCCCTCAAGCACCCCCACAACCCCCACCCCTCGACCCCAGGGCCCTCCCTTGACTTGGAAATGTCGGGGGCCCTCAAGCAGCAGCTGCTCAATGACTACGCGGCAGTTCATTTGCAGGTGGGGGCGGGCCCTGGTTGGCAGGCTCGAGCGCTGCTGGTTGGGCGGTCACCATTCCTGGGTGGCCCCCCTTCCCCTCTGCGCCGCCCCTTTCATTCGACACCGTCGGGCGGGTTTGCGCCGAAATGTATGGCTCGGGGCAGGCGCCTGAGTATTGCTGAAAACCTGTGCTGTTGTGAGGGCCCAACGTAGGACCTGCTTCTTCCTCACTACTTGCGCCGCAACACCCTGCCCGCCGCCGCCCTGCCACTGCCCCACCCCACCCTGCCGCCGCGCAGGGCCGCACCC